GCAGAGAACCTATATAGTTCTACCCACCCGGAAGGGTTCCAAGGTAATGGTATGAAAATATTATGCAGCTTTCAAGTACCATAGGAACTTAGTATTATCCCCATGGACACATTCCTGGAACTTGGCCAATTCCTCCAAAACTAGTCCTCAGATATATTTCGAGACCACAGATTTTGATACTTTACCTCTTATTAGAGGACAAGCGATTTACTATGGTAAAGGAAAAATGTATTCTCTTCTTCAGACTTGAGCATGAAGACTGGGTGGTAAAGGGTGGTGGTGGGGAGCATGCTGGTCAGAGTCAGTCTATGCTTCTAGGGAGGGTTGGAAAGGTGATTGTAAAGGTGGAGATTTGTACCCAGACCTCTGACCATCTAAGCTCAAACTGGCTCTCTCTGCATTGTCTAAATGAGACTATGTGCAGATGAGATTGGGTGGGAAGTGGAAGGATTGAACGGAAAGTGAAGTAGGATTAAAGTCCTACGCAGTGTGGCAGATCTCACACATAACATATCAATCAGCCCCATTAGGTCCTATTTGGAACAAGGTGACATGTAAGTAACTAGCTGAAGTTAATGCATAGCATATCAGGAGTTGTGGGACAGTGTTAGATCACTTCTCTTAAATCAGATCTAACAAAAGCAAAATGAAGAGTGAGGGGAGAGAGTTAAAATAGATCTATTAGAAAGATACTATTAGAAAATAAGGTTCAAAAGTGATTAGTGGACTTAATAAAAGCAACACCATCCAATTAGTACAGGTTATGATACCACACGAAGAGATCTCTGCATCAGGCTTTTAGCCTTAACCATCGGCCCTTGGAGCAGAGAGATGTTATTTTAAGAAAAAAAGAAATAATAATGACTGAAGAGCAAAGCTAAAGTTGTGAAGCACCACACAGCTGAGTGAATACCAGAGACGGGGGGGGGGGGGGGGGCTATAAATGCAAAGTCTTAGAACAGCCCAACCCTGAGGATTCCATGAGCACAGAAGAAAATGGGAGGGATGGAAAACAACCATAGTGAATCCACTTGTGAGAGATGGGACTGCCAAAGAACAGGGAAAAAAGCCCAGGCAATAATACCTGTTATTTAGAGGAACACTAAAGGAAGTGTCCTGCTGTGAGCTGCCTTTTCAGGAAGCACTCACGCACCAGGGAAGGATGCCTGCTCCATACTGAGCTCTTTTGCACCTCTGTCCCTGGAATAACAGTAAGAAACCTGCTCTTGCAGAGAGCAATGTTATCTTCATTTTATTGAAGGGGACACAAAGGCTTATGCAAGCTGAGTGACACGTTAAAGTCACACAGGTGACAAGTGCTAGAGCCAGATTTAAGCTTGTTCTTTTCCGGCAGTATTGTAGGACAGTGAGAAGCCTGGTGATGAGCGAGGAGACTCAAGGGGAATCATGTCCTGATACAGGACCTGATACAGGACCGCGCTGTGAGTTGGGCCCCACATCTGGTATCTGGGGAATGACAAGGCCAGCCTAGCTGAATTTCCCAGCTCTCTTCTAGACCCACAGTGCTGTGAACATTTCTAAGCAACACCCTAAGATTTACCAGGGACATGGAATCAGAAGGGACACGCAGAATAGCAGCAGATTATACTCCTAGGCAAAGTTTTGAAAGAGGACTTGCCTACATCTTCTGGTAGGAGATGGAATAATAAAGGACACAGATGCAATCAAGGTCTCAGATGCAGCTAAGGCCAGTGCTACAGACAACATTGCAAACACAGCGATAAAACCGAGCACACATATCCCAAATGCATAATAGGAAGACTCATACAAGAACTGACACAAATGCACGAAATATGGATCTGTGTATCTACTGAGTGGATCAGAGTTAAAATCTATGTCCAGGCTTTAAAAAGATAATTGTCAACAAAAAAAGGTATTGATATGAAGCTAAGGGGAAGAAGTGAAAATTCCTAACAAAACAAAATGAGAAGGGGAAGAGAAATGATGAAAGACGAAATTGGAAGTTCTGAGTAAGGGATGGATCATTATTTTGGGAACCTAAAGATCAGAATGACGTTACATTGAAGCAAATAAATAGGAACAAGTCCATCTTGCTTTTGAACACAAAAGATATTTAGCAACTATAAGAAAGCAGTGAGCTCATACATCACATTTTCTCAACTAAGTAATAGCATGAACACACTAGAAAGGTGGCTGGTTACTGAAGATTTCTCTTAAATAATTTCTGGGATAGGAATAAATTGGTACATACAATAATTGAAAATATCTGTAAAATGAAAAATAGAACTTAACCATTTAAGAATTATTATAAATATATTATGATAGTACCAAAATTGTGTGTCATAGAGAATATATAGCTAAGAAAAATGTCAGAAATCATGTGACTAAATGAGTGTTTTTCATGGCTTCATAAAATCCAAATTAACATCTGTTAAGGTTTTATTTCATACCTAAGAAACAAGGGGGAAAAGCCTAAAATGGCAAAAATGAAGAACAACATTGGGAGGTTTTTAGGGGCACCAGGTTCTCTGCTGGTGTAATAAAATGAGAATTAATGAATTCCTGCACTCCAGAGCCCAATAATAAAGAAATAGCAAAGACCACAGGGAGCTACTCACAATGGTCTGTTTGTAAGGACAACCGTGGCGTGCTTAAAGCAATCAGCGAGAGTCCACTTGTGAGGAGGGCTGTGTCCCTCCAGAGAAATGGTAACCAGAACACGGCGTGGTCCCTCCTCATTCCCAAGAGTTGTGTTTCAAGAATCCAGTAGATGCCTGAAACTGTATATGATACCACATCATACATATAGTTTAATTTATGAATTAAGCACAATGCAAGGTTAACAATGCCTGGTAATAAATAGAACAATTATGATACATTGTGATAAAAGTTATGTGAATGTGGTCTTTCTTGAATCAAAACAAATATGAGGTATGATAAAATACATGATGACATTTACATTAAAATATATTATTAGTGTAAGTGACACATTGTCGTTAATTTCCCTCAACATGCTGCTCCTTGCTTTCAACACACACCCATCATTCTCAACACTTTCTAAGCAGTTTCGGTGCCATTCATGGTGTGATTGTGAGATGTGGCTTTAAAGAAAAAAACAGTGTCAGCTGCTGCCAAATGCCATCTGGAAAGGCAGACTTGTAAAAACACGACAGTGTTTCTTCATCTACCTCAGTCACTGGACTCGGCACCACGTGACTTTGGCTCTTTCTCAAAGTTAAAATGGCCACGAAAGGGAAATGTTTTGAATCAATCCAGGAAATTGAGGCAGCTATGAGAGTGCCACTAAAGATATGAAACAGGAAAGAGTATTGTGGGCAGGTGAATAGCAATGGGTCTTCTACCAAATAAAAAATTAAACATTCCCTGTACTTTTCAGTCATATCTTGCACTGATATTTCAGACTGTGAATGAGCACAGAAGAGAGACCACTGTCCACAGGGGAGTTTTTCCTTACCAATGTAGTGCCAATACCCGGCACTGGATGTACACCACACGGGAGGTCCTCAATCAGCATCTGATGGGTGACTTAGATGTGCATATGGAATTGCAGCCAACAAGTAAAACACAAGTCTGTACTGCACAATTAGAACTGGCACCAAGACTTAGATGGTCACCTCAACATTTCAAAAGGGATTTTGCAATGATAAGAACACTCTCTTCTTCTCTGTCCAGGTGCTTAGATTCATAATTTGAAAATAGTAAGTGATATATATATATATATATATATATATATATATACATCTATCTATCTATCTATCTATCTATCTATCTATCTATCTATCTATCTATCTATAATCTCACTACCTATGTGTTCCAACCTGTGCATAATGTGTTCCATTTTACTTTGGAGCCTTGTGGCTCTTGATTCATGAATCTTGGTATTGGCCATATGCGTAGTGAACTTACTTGAGGACTGATGTGCATGGCTTGCCTGTGGCAAGTGCTGGGTGCCACTTGGTTCTCTAGTGTTCAGCCACTGAGTGGAGCCCACTGGAGCAGCATACCATTCTATCTTCCTTACAAGAAACCTGTTTAATCATTGTCGAGAACGATCCTTATGTTGTCTTCTGAGAGCCCAGATTCAACACTTTCTGGTATTATTTCTAAAAAGTACCTTTGACTGGGGAATGTGGTTCAGTGGTAGCATGTCCAAGGCTCTGGGTTTGATCCTCACCCCTGGGGAAAAAAATTACATGAAGTTGGTGGGCCCCAGTGACAAATGCAATCAAAGTGCTGGTGTCCTTATGCCATCACCCCAACAATGTCCAGAGCAGGTAGACTAAGTAAACTTCTGTGGCCTCTGTGTCTCTAAGGAAGCAAAGACTGTGGGAGGCTGACTTACATCTGGGTCACCCCCGTGGACATACAGGCCAGGTAGGCATTGCTAGAAATTCCTGTGGAAGCCAGAGGAAGAAACCCACTAGAAACCTGGGTGGGGGGCGCGCCCAGAGAAGAGCCCTCAAGCTGGTTCCATTTGTGTGATAAGAAGGAACCTAGAGGCAGAGGTCCGGAGTTGCCATTTGTCTGGGAACACGAAGGAAGCTAGCAACCCTGAGTTTAGTCTGCGTAGCTCTGGACAGTGGAGGATAAGCTGTTGGTGAAATAAGAAGGGAAACTGTCATATGTGAGCCATGCTGAGATCTGGAATCTGGGGAGGAGTTTCTGCAGCTGGGGTGAAGAATGGCATTCCCTAAGAATATTCACTGAGCTCAGTGCTGGCTCCACAATGTGTCCAAGCACTTAGCTTCCTTCTGGCTTTGTAGCTCCAGGACAGGGCAGGGGATTTGGTCATCCTTCCCCCTGCTCACCTCTCCTTCCTGTCCAAAGGGTGACAGGGTCCATGGGATGACTTGAGCTTAGGAGAGCTCCCAATAGCGGTGAAGAGCAGAGTCCGTGTGTTGCTTCCATGCTGTTAGGACTCGGGCTCAAAACATTCCTTGGGGTCAGCAATAGGCCAGTGTGGGAGGATCTTGGGGTAACCACATTTTCTCCTATAGGCTCCCCATTCTCCAGGGAGGCACATTTGCTTTTGTGGCACCCTCTTTGGCCATGCTGTCTCTTCCGGCCTGGAAATGCCCAGAGTGGACACTCAATGCCAGCCAGGTGGATCCCAGCTCTCCTGAATTCACTGAAGAGTGGCAGAAAAGGATCCGAGAGGTAACGAGACCAGGGAGTAAGTGGGAGGGTCGTAGGGGTTAGACAGAGGCTCTTGAGTCTATTCATTTGTTCAACATTCATTATCCGTCTCCCTGCCAAGAAAGACCCTGGGCTTTAAGATGCTGATGGAGACAGGACAGACACAAATCCTCCCTCGGGGAGCTACAGGCTGGTGTGTGTGGTTGGTGGGGCAGGAGAAAGAAAGAGGTATATTCCAACAGGAAAACAGAAGAGGGGAATTTCAGGAACTCGATTGAAGAAAAGGAAACGGGGATGGGAAGGATTGGGGCTGCTGGGGAGGAACATGAAGATGAGTGTCCTGGGAAGCCTCCATCATTCAAGGAGGAAGAGTTGAGTAAGAGCCCTCCATTTAATACGCTTCCGGTTTGTTTTTGTGCTGGTGACATGCAGAGATCCTGAAAGCAAAGGCAGCCAGTATGATTCTTGGGCCAAACCCTTTGGTTTGGCCTGGTGTTTTGTTTTGTTTTTGCTGCTCCTGAGCAAAAAATGACATTTATATTTTTAAAAGGTTATTAAAAAAAAAAAAAAAAGAACATGTGGCAGAAGCCACACGCGGCCCACAAAATCTAAAATATCTATGCTCTGGCCTTTGACAGAAAAAGTGAAAATTCTTGGTTTAAAACACAGAGAGCTCAGAATAGGAACTCCTCTTGCCTGGATCTCAGACAGAATATTATTTCCCCCATCCACCAGGTGTCAGGAACCTAGTTTTGGCTGTGGTATTTTAGCTCCCTCTGCTGGTCAATTTTTTTTCACCTACCCTATAAATGAAAAGACCAAAATTTCAACCTCATTACCTATACTTGATTCACTGATTGGTTTAATTCCCGGGGTCTCCTATTGAAGTGGATTCCTCACAGCTCAATGAATTGCATTTATCTGTGCACATCTCAAGGCTGGAAACAACCGAATGTACCAGACCAACTGTATATCACAGTCCCAGCCACGGAGGAAAGCCCTAGGAACTCAGCACCAATAAATAGCAGGGTTGGGACACGCAGGGCAAGAAGCAATAGAGAGGGAGAAGTGAGCAGTGATTTTGTTTAGAGAACTGGTGATTTCAGAAGAAAACTGGAAAGAGATGGCGAGTTCAGTCTCTAATACGTTAGACCAATCTAAAGTTCCCCTTCCAGTATCATGGTGACTTAAACTACAGAGCCCATTCACATTACCAAGAGTAAAAAAAAAAAAAAAAAAAAAAAAAAAAGATAAGCAAACTGTATTTTCCAATGCATACTTGAACTTAAAGCCAGGGGGAAAATACTGCTTTCTAGAAACAAAGATGGAAATTATAACCAGAATCGTGGAGTTTGTAATAGTAGGGTGATGAATCAGACCTCACTATAGAACCAAAGGCCAGAAGCCTGGGTTTTCATGAGTCACTGGTAACCTGAAAGGGAGTGAATTCCTTTTAAGGGAATTAGCAAGGATGCTTTTCATTCTGCCCAGGGGTCTGTGGGAAGTGTTGGAACATAGATTTGCATGAGAAATAGACACTCCAACACATGCCATGGTGGTATGTGGAGAGCTTTTCAAGCTCAGAAATAAAAACTGGTCCTGTCAAATGAAATACGTGGGGTTCTCAGGAAAAGAAAATGTAAAGTCATTCTTTTGGCATGTTTCTGTGTTCTAGGGTACACAGGATTCCCACAGGAGCAAATAATTCCCCTGAACATGATCCCACTGATGTAAATTTCATAATATATTATGCCAGACATTCAGAAGAAGCAAGAGAAAACTGAATATTTTGTAAGAGACTATTCAATTAATTTAAGAGAATCAAGAAACAACAGAAACCATAATACAGAAGATTAAATGAAATAAGAATAGGAAAATTTTAAAATAGAACCAAGCAGAACTTCAGTATTACGAATATATAATCAAATCATTGCAATTTTAAAATACATATAATGATTAAATAGCATTAGACAAAGCTAAAGGGAAATTTGTGAATAGATTAAATAACAATCTAAGGAAATAATCCAGGATACAGCACAGAGGGGTAGAAAGATGGGAAATATGACATAAAGAATAAAACATGGAGAAATAGAAGGACAAGTCCAAGCTGTATCTAATAGGAATTCCAAAGAGTGATAATAAGAAACGGGTAAAAGTGACAGCCATAGAAGAGATGTGATGGTGGACACATTAGGACAGATGAAGGATGGTCATCAGCACTCCGGTCTCAGCTGGAGTAAATAACATAAGTCTGATGCTAGACACACCGTGATGAAACTGTGATATCATATACAAAGAGAAAGTATTAGAAGCAACCTGGAAAAAGTGGTATAACCAAGAATAGCAAGTGGTCATCAGCTGCTTTCTCATTAGCCACCTCAGAGACTGGAAGACAACGGAACATTTTAATTCATGTCACATAAGATTGATGGCACACTAAAGGCATTTTTGATTAAATAAAGATGGAGAAGGTGAGGTATATAGCTCGGAGGCCCAAGCACCTGCCCAGCAAGCAAAAGGTCCTGAATTCAATTCCCAGTATAGAACAAAAACAAAGTAAAACAAAACCCAAAGATTAAGAGAGCTTATCCATCACAGACCTTGACTGAAATATCTACTCAAAAGGAAATTCAGTAGAAAAATAGAGAAGAAAGAAACATCTGGTAATAAGAAGTATGTATTAGTTAGCTTAGGCTGCCATAACAAAATCCCAGAAACTGGATGAGTTAAGCAAGAGAAATGGATTTTCTTACAGTTCTGGAGGCACAAAGCCTGACAATGAGGTGCCATCATAGTTGGGTTTTGCTTAGGGCCCTCCTCTTGGATGATAGACTGCTGTTTTCTAACTATGTCTGCCCACAGTCTTTCCTTGGCATGGGATGTGGGGAGGGGAGAAATCTTTTTATTAGAACGAGGGTGCTAATGATATCATGGAGCCCCTCTCCTGACCTAATTACCGCTCAAGCCCTCATCTCTAAATACCATCAACAAATGAATATGGGCGGGGGCATAATTTGGTCCTTAGCAGTTGGTAAATGTGAGTATTGATTATAGAAAAATATAATAAAATTCATATTTATGACAGTGAAAATGTAAGCTGATAAATATCTGGCAAAAACTGCCTGTTTTTGAATACCTAATGAGTTAAGAATAGTTTTATGTTTTAAGTGGTAATTTTTTAAAAATCACAAAGAATAATATATCCTGACACATAAAAATTATGTGAAATGCAAATGCCAGTGACTATAAGTAAAGTTTTATGAGAATACAGTGATGCACATTTGTTCTCTCTTGTCTGGAAAAGTTACAACAGAGCTCTTGGGCTCACAAAGCCTAAAACATCCGCTAACTGGTCCTTGACAGTACGAGTTTGCCACCCCTGCAACAGGAAAAATACAGCAGCGAGGTGGTCCGTGTCCCCTAATCGCATTAGCGCTCACGCCATTGCCACCGCCATGCTGGTGATCAATGGGTCATTTCGAAGCTATTTCCTGAAAAGCTTCCCTAGCGCGAAGCTGTCCACCAGGCAGCTGGACACGCAGCATCAGGGAAAGATGGTGCTGTTCTTCCCACTTCCACTGAGTTTCAGCTCCGCCCCTGCTCTGCTTGGGAGGCACTGCCCAGGCATGGTCAGGACCGGTGCTGAGTGGCAGCAGCAGGAGCCACCATGCTGGCCCAGGCTGGGCTGAGCCTGCTCTTTCCTTCAGCTGCAGGGCGCCATTATGGTGGCTTCCTGTGTGCAGATACTGGTGGGCTTCTCTGGCCTAATTGGCTTTGTCATGCGCTTCATTGGCCCCTTGACCATCGCTCCAACCATCTCCCTGGTGGCCCTGCCTCTCTTTGAATCGACAGGTGAGGACGTCGGAATCCACTGGGGGATCTCCTCTCTGTAAGTATTCTGTGGGAAAGGGAGCCCATCTACATTTTTGTTTTTGGTGGAATATTACCTAGTAAGACTAACAGGACCCAGGAGATTGGCAAACTCTTGTGTTTTCCAAATACTTTACTGAACATTATCATACATTGTGTGTGTGTGTGTTACTGGGGACTGAAACTATATGGCCTTCACACTGAGCTATCTCCCCAGATCTTTTTGTGTATGTGTTTTTTTTTTTAATTTTAAGAAATGATCTCACTTAAATTGTTAGATTGCTCAGGCTGGATTCATACTTGTGATCTTCCTGCCCTCCCAGAATGCTGGCACTCCAGGCTGTTGAGTCTTTTAAGAACCAAAGTTACTACTTATCATTCATTAATATTGTTAATTATTTTATCTTACTAACCACAACATGAGTTAATCACCAGCAGTAAAGAATACACTGCAAAACGTTGATCCTGTGGATCTCCTGCCAGCTACGTTTCCATGGAGTGGGGAAGGGTATAAAGGCTGGCTGTCTCAAGCATGGTACAGTCACAAAGAGAGAGAGAGATAAGGTCGGATGGGGAGCCTGTGCAATCCAGGGACAGCCATGAGTCACAGGGTGCAGAGGACGTGATCATAGCCAGCCGGAAGGGAGGGCCAGGAGGCTTCATGGCAAATGCAGCCTCCTCACTGAAAGCGACTTGGAAGGGTCTCGGGGGTGACACTGTCCTTCACTCTGCCCTCTGTGGTCTTGGGGTGGGGGGTGTGAGGACCATGAGCCTGCAGGGGGCCCTGGACAGGAAGATGGTCCTTGACTGGCTCCTTGGCTGTAACAGCTGGATCTGTGTGAATCTCCAGAAACAGTGGCAGCTTATCTCACTGTTCCTCTTGGGCCACACACAGTAGCTCCCAAGATGAGACAAGTCCTGCTCAGAGAAGGCAGGTCTGTCTGCACTCGGAGGGGGCCCTCCCAGTGAGGGTACCGCTTGGAGAGACACAGGACGGCTCACTCCCTGGCCACCCAAACTCTTGTGTGCCCTCAGGATGCGCCCGTCGCACAGGTGGGGTATGGTTGTTCCTTCCTGTTTCAGGACTATCTTCCTCATCGTGCTGTTTTCTCAGTACCTAAAGAATGTCGCGGTGCCTGTGCCTGTTTATGAAGGATGGAAGAAATATCGCACTGCCAAGTTCTACGTGTTTCAGGTCTTCCCTGTAAGAAGCGCCCCTTTCCCTGTGCAGTCCTAGGTGGCTCCTGGGGAGTGCAGGCGGGACACCTGCCCCATGCCTAGAGGGTCCCCGGTCTTTGCTCCCTGGTCTGCTGTGGTTTATCCAAGGACAGGGGCAGCCCAGGAGTGTGTGGTGTGTGCCTGCCACCCCAGGTCTGCTCTCAAATGCTTCTTCCAAAGCCCCAGGGAACCTGTGTGGGGCAGTCAGCCTTCTCCTCATGACAATGTCCTGGTAGACATCCAAATCCACCTTGAATGGGGAAACACCGAGCAGCCTGTTGGGCCACATTACTTAGGTCAGGGTCTTTCAAGATGGCTCGGGGAGATCCAGTTACTGGTGGTACTATGGTGCCTCTCTTTTCAGATTTTTCCCACTGAATTTTGTGTAGTTGTCAGCTACACAACTGTCTTCCAGTTCAGTAAAACTGTAACCTTTATTTCGCATTGTAAAATGGAACTTCTACGTAATGATCTCACTGATCCTTGAACGACTCCACTGCCCAGTGATTCTAAAATTCAGTGTGTATAGGACAATTTATTTCAAATACAGTTCTGGCCTCCTACCACCTGAGACTTAAAATTATACATCTGAGGACTTCACTTTAGAAAGCTCTTTTAGCCAGGCATGGTGGCACATGCTTTTAATCTCAGGACTCAGAGAGGCTGAGGCAGGAGGACCACAAATTCAAACCCAACCTAGGCAACTTAGGGAGAACCTGTCTCAAAATTAAGGTCCAGTCCTCATAAATAAATAAATGGCCCTGTTTCAGGCCCCCAGCTGTGCCCAATGCTCTGTCCCAATTTGCCATGAGTCTCTCCCACAGGTTATTTTCTGCTTCTCTTTCCAGCCTGTTTTTCTAACACACTAGCTTATCCATGGACGTAGCAGGTGCCTCTCATCACTGGCAAGACTGGGAACCTGGGACATCCACAGACCCGGGAGGGAGCCTTCCCAAATGCCTCCTCAGGGGTGGCAAGGGCAAGTTGGCTGCTGACGGGTAGCTCCTCTGCAGGTGCTGCTGGCCCTCTGTCTGTCCTGGCTCCTCTGTTTTGTGCTCACCATCACTGACGTCCTCCCTTCAGCCCCCACTGACCCAGGGTACCTGGCCCGCACTGACTCAAGAGGCAGCGTCCTGAGCCAGGCCCCTTGGTTTCGCATCCCTTACCCAGGTAGGGGCACGTGGTGGTTCTTCTTGCTGGGGACAGCACTCGGGGCTCAGGGAGGGCACTGTAGTGGATGTTGGCACTGGGAGGGGTTGACAAGGAGGGTAAGGCCCAGGAGGACTATGTCTGACTCTTGAGAGATGCAGGAGGCCCCAGGTCATTGCAAACCCTGCAGAGTAATAGACCGAGGACTGGTATCCCAGGCCCACGTGGAAGCCAGGCTCCATCCCCTCCATGCTGCTCAGGACTTGCAGGCTGGGACTGGGGTGAAATAGGGAGACAGCCTTGACCCCTAACCAGAACTTCCAGTCTCCTCCTGGGTTCCCAGGACCTCACAAAGGGAACCAGCCTCCCTGGGACGCCTCTGGCAAGGAAAGATGTGGGCTTCTGCAGCTCTCCTGAGAGGATGTGGCTCTACCCTGGATTTCAGGACAGTGGGGCCTCCCGACCGTCAGCCTGGCTGGGGTCTTCGGGATCATCGCTGGCGTGATCTCCTCCATGGTGGAGTCCGTGGGTGACTACTATGCCTGTGCCCGGCTGGCAGGAGCCCCACCCCCTCCAAAGCATGCCATCAACCGTGGCATCTGCATCGAGGGCCTTGGCTGCCTGCTGGCAGGGGCCTGGGGGACAGGGAATGGCACCACCTCTTACAGTGAGAACATCGGGGCGCTGGGCATCACCAGGGTAAGTTTACTTGCAAGGACCCACCTGGTCCTTTACTCAGTCACATCTTAACAGTCCTCTTTCAATTCAAAGTGACACACAGTTTGGACGTGAGGACATGGGTGTCTTTGCCTTCTGCTCTTGGCCATCCTTGGCTGTGGCATTGCCACACCAAGTCTGTGCTGCACTGGCAGGTGTCGCCTTTCTGAGCACTGAAGAGCAGGAGCCCCTCCTTGCTGGGATTCAGGCAGGAGGTCCACCACCCTGCCCAGCCTGAGCATTCCATTTCAACCTGGTCACTGTCACCTAACATCCCTGGCACCAGACTCCCAAAGGCCTTGTGGACCCAGGTGGTGCCCCATCCTGCCTTCCCCTGCGGCCCTTTCTTAATGAGCTCAGCCAGACCCCAGACCATCCTTATCTTCGACTGTCTGCAGTTTCCTGGCCAGTCACAGCTTCTCCACATGGCTCCTTTGCCCACCCCCTCCCTCTCTCGCCAGCACCATGGCCCCCGTCTCCCTCCTGGATTCGGTAGCAGTTCCACATATCCGCTCTTGCTAGGACCTGGACTATCTCAAATCCAGCTATCTCACAACCACCCGAGGATCCTTCCAGAGCCTAATTCTGACCAGATTGGCCTCTGCTCACACCCTCCATGTGGCCCCACATTTTACACAGTAATCGTTCCTTAGTTAATTGTCAAGCACAAAACAGAACAAAACATTCCTTGGATGTGGTAGGAATTTCCAGTATGGACAGTTAAATAAATAAACTGTTAGACCAGAAAGAAAAAATAATCAAGTATATAATCTACTTTTATTGCTGTATTAATGGACTTTAGTTGACACTAGATTATCTTTTTAAAAGATTTGATTGTGGTAAAAGGACCAAACATAAAATTTGCCACCATACACATTTTTAAGTCATGCATTCATAGTGCCATACAACACATCTCCACAACTTTATCATCTTGAAAAATCAAATCTACATATAGTCTCCCACCCCACTCCCCACCATCTTTTGTGGTACTGGTGATTGAGCCCAGAGCCTTCAGACTGTATTAAATCCTTAGCCCCTTTTTAATTTTCTTTTTCTTTTATTTTGAGATAGGACTAAAGTCATTGAGTTGTTTAGGCTGGCCTCAATTTCAAGGTCTTCCTGCTCAGCCTCCAGGAATTCTGGGATCACAGGCATGTACTGCTACACCTAGCTCTATTATAGAGTCTTTTTTAGACACACATAAGTGAGAAACAGAGTCAAGAACTGTTTAAGTACATAAATTGACAGCAGACTACTAATGAGACATTCAGGCAAGAACATTTGTAGCACAGCCCTAACTTTGGAGGGGTTCCCTCTCTGAGGTGAGCACCCTGCAGGGCTGGACAGCATTTCATGGCACATATTCCCCATCACAGTGTCACCCAGAGCAGTTTCATTACATTATAAACTCAGAGGCTATTTTTACGTCACTGGCTAAAACTCACCCAGACCCAGGCTCGAAGTTGAGCAGCACAACAGGCTGCGGCGATTGTGCTGTGACCATTTTATGTGCCCAGCCCATGGGGACCTGTACGGACCCTGTCGGTAAGCTTATGCTGGGGCGGGCTGTTTCTTTTTCTTTATATCTTGCAGAAACTTCATTCTATTTCATGATCTAAAAGCCACTGTAAGAAAATGGCCAGAACACATTTCTTAAGCATTCCGGAACTCCTAGCTACTCAGCAAACCCCATGCACACCAGGTGTAGCAGTTCGGAGTGATTCCAACCAGAGCAAACACTATGAACGTCACTTGCAAGGGTTCAGCCTGAGAGCAGCATTTGAGGCTTGCTCATGGAAGTGAACTTTCATGGGGCTGGAGTGTACCAGCTCCGCGCTATGATAGCAGGGGAAGGGTGTTATCCTGGGTTTGAATGCTAAGTATGCCTTCGCAGGAGGAAAAGCCATAGTTAACAATCACCTGTTGAGAAAATATACCACTGTCCTAACAGAGAAATGTGTTGGTTAATAATTACTAAATAACTTTTATGGGGAGTATTTATAAAATATAAGCTATATCCTCTCTATCTTGCTTAAAAACTATTTATGGAGACCTTCTCTCGTCTTTGAGTTTTCTACTTTTTTTTTTTTTACCACCTAAAAAAAAAAATGTACCACCTTGATCATCTCTCAATGTACATCTGGTAGTGTCAAGTACCTTCACATTTTTGTCAGCCATCAGCACCACCCATCCCTGGAACTCTTTCCTCCTGCAGAACTGAACTTCTGTCCTGCTAAACACCTGCCAGGTTCCTGCCCCATTCCATGGCCACTGCCATCCTGCCTACCTCTGTCTCTGTGGACTTGAACTCCTCCCTGGTACCTGGTCTAAGTGGAATCACGCTACTGGTCTTTGTGACTGCATTATTTCACTTAGCATAACGTCCACAGGGCTAATCCAGGTTGTAGGTGATGTCAGAATTTTCTTTCTAAGGCTGAGTCACATCTTGCTGTACACATAGACAACATTTGGTTCATGCATCCTCTTTTGATTTTATTCTGACTCCTCTCCCAGGGCACCCAGGAACCTGCAGGATGAAGCCCGTGCCTTGTTCTGAGTTTCCAACTTCTTCCTTCTCCCCAGCTCTCTGCCACTTAGGCACACAGTGTTCCCTTTGGTCTTGAGTCACCAGCGTCAGCACTTGCTATTTCTCTATAGAGTGCTCTTTCACCAAACCTTTATGTGTTTGCCTCTTCCTCTTCTCTTAGATCCCAGCTGACTGCTGTCCTAAACAGGCCACCACTGACCTTCTGTAGAGCCCCAGCCCTACTACCTTGGACCCTGTCACTTGTGATGACTATCTTTAAAGCAACCATGTATTGCTACTGGAAATTAGCTATTTTGTTTACTAAATCTCCTACTCAGTATCTGTCCTTTCCCCTAAAATTATAAACTTCATTTACAAAGTAATAGGTATCAGGGAAATGGACCTGGATGTGGTATGAATAACATGTAGCTAGAAACTTGCAGCACTGTTGATAAAACCCAGGAACCAAGCTAGAAAGAGGGGACCTGGGTGTTACTGAGCATGGCTCTTGTGTGTCCTCGAATCCCTTGCTTGCACCTCTGGGCCTTGGCTCTCTGCTGTATAGCATGAGGTCCGAATGAGCCGCTCTCTCCATCTCCTTCTTCCCTGGCCTCTGGTGATACAGGAAGCCTGGTGCTACTTCCCTGTGCAGGATTCTCAGGGAAGGAGAGGGCAGAGGCTGGGCCCCAGGACCACATTCTCAGCCTTTCCCAATCCAGCTGGGAGTAGAAAGATTTGGGTGTGTATGTGGCATCATTCCCATGAATATACCTCCCTGTCCCTCTCTCATCCCTGGGTCCTACAGGTGGGAAGCCGGAGAGTGATTGTCGCTGCAGGCTGTGTGCTGCTCGTGATGGGTGTGTTTGGGAAGATTGGGGCTGCATTTGTCACCATTCCAACCCCTGTGATTGGAGGCACATTCCTCGTCATGTTTGGGGTCATCAGTGCCATGGGGATTTCCAATCTTCAGGTGAGGGGGGTGAGACACCCTCAGAGAGGCAGCAGCATTGCCCCTCTTGAGAGAAGCCCACAGGACTGTGGAGAACAGGATGGCTGGGGACTTGGTGAGGAGGAGGAGGAGGAGTAGGAGAAGGAGGAGGAGGAAGAGGAAGAAGAGGAGGAAGAGGAGGAGGAGAAGGAGGAGGAGGAGAGAATCTTTTATTCCTGAAGACACACTGGCCCCCAAATAGGAGACATGAATGGCCAGAGGCACAGCACCTGAGCCCCAGTCAGCCATCATGTCTCTGCGTGGTAAAGGTGCGATGACACCTGTGTGAGCTCCCAGCCTTTCTCCTGCAGTATGTGGACATGAACTCATCTCGGAACATCTTCATCTTTGGCTTCTCCATCTACTGTGGGCTTGTCATTCCCAGCTGGGTGAACAGGAATCCCGAGAAGCTGCAGACAGGTGACTGATCTCTGTCCTGTTATCGCCACTGTGGGTGTGAGTGGCAGGGCTCTTGGCCCCTGGGAACCTGTCCCTGTTGTCTCACTCCAGGGATCCTCCAGCTGGACCAGGTCCTCCAGGTGCTGCTGACCACAAGCATGTTCGTCGGGGGCTTCCTGGGCTTTCTCCTGGACAACACCATCCCAGGTAGGGCCCACCTGTGAGCTAAGGACGGGCAGCATTTGGGTCACCAGTTGTGTCAGGCTGGTCACAGCATACCCCAAATGGGCCCTGAATGTGGAGGTGAGGTGAGGAGGACCTGTGTCAGTCAGCTTAGGCTGCTATGACAAAACAGCACAGACTGGGGGCTTAGAGGACAAGAGACAAAGGCTAGTAATTCGGGTGTGAGCAGCTCGGCTTCTCCAGAAGCCTGGAGGCCTTCCCGGAACTTGCAGATGCTGCCTTCTGACTGTGTGACCCTTTCTGTGAGCATGGTGCTCCTGGTGTTTTTCCTGGGTCCAAATCTCTTTTTATAAAGACTCCATTCATATTGGATTAGAACCCACCTACAAGACCACACTGCAACTTTATTACCTCTTTAAAGCCCCTGCCACAAAATATAGTCACATTCTGAGATGCTGGTAATTAGGGTTCTAATACATAAACTTTAAGGGGACAGAATTTAGTCCATAGCAAACCGGCAGCAAAAGCAAAAAGACACAGCCTGGCTCTCTTAAAGCCTGCCATCTAATCGGTGAGAGAGACCACATGTTTGCTCACTGATTTATATCTTTAATAAAAATCCTTTGAGCATTTGCTATGTACCAGATATGTTCTGAGAACAGAAAGAAAAGTACGGCAAGTCTCTGCCTCCTAGAAACCCACGGGCTGATGGGGAAAGACACAAGGACCAGACACACACAGTGCTGCTGGCTAGCGGGAGCTGGGTAGCAGGTTCCATGATGGGCAAATTGGAGGTGCAGGGTGAATGGGAGTGACTTCTGGAAGGTATAGCCAGGTCCCTCCTTTCTTCTGCCTGCCCTCTGGCTTCCTGAGGATCCCGGTGGCCATACCTGCTTCAGAGTGTTCCATTTGCCATGCAACTACTTGCCACCAAATCCAAAGTGCCAAATGGCCTGCAACCATTAGGATGCAGTTGAGTCCATCTCTGCTTCCTAACTGGCTGTGGCAGGGGGTGGGGGAGACCCCGGGGGCCTGGAGAAGAGGAGCTTGGAGAGGCCTTGAGGAGGGGCCAAGTTGGCAAAAGAGGGTCTGTATGTATGTAGCAGGGGAGGGAAGAGGAGAGAGAGGAAGCAGGCCTGTGTGAGGTCAGTGACAGGTCACTGCGGGTCTTGACCTATGCTGTCTCCCATCAGGAAGCCAGGAAGAGCGAGGCCTGCTGGCCTGGTCTCAGATCTACAAGGAGTCTGAGACCACACTGCAGGCTTCAAAGGTCTACGGTCTGCCCTGGGGTGCCGGCACCCGGTTCTGTACGTGTTCCTGTGCCCGCGTGTTGCCCTTCTGGCCTAAGCCAGGCCAGGAAGATGCTGGCCACAGGCCAAACGAGCCTTTGCTTCTGAGCATCCTTAGCAGAGCACCTGAATACCAGGATCAGATGGCAGCTGGCTCCGCAAACCAGACCACCCAGGACCACCAACCCAGGTCACACCTGGCTCCCTAGGTCACCACAGGCCACAATGCATCCTTCTGTTGTTTCCCAAACTCCAGCTTGGACCAACTCCCTGGGGCCCAGCAGAACTCTGCTTTTCCACCAAGTACTACTTTAACAAATTAGGAGGAAGAGGCAGGAGGGGATGGGCTATTTGCTGAAAGATGACACAACACAGGTTTCTTTTCCAAACACAAGTCAAGGCCCTGTCATCCTCCCCTCCAAGTCCCTCTGCCAAGGCTTGTGTGGGCAGTGTGAGGAGTACCCCACTGGTCTAGCACCTCCTCCCAGTTCCTGGGGAGTCATCCTCTCTCAGCTTGGGGACCCTGGCCTGGCCACCTTTCCCTGAGCAGACTTGAGGCAGGACAGTGGCTGAGCTCTGTTCTGTTGTGGCTCCCACATTATCCCTCTTTTCTTCTGTCTCCCCTCCAAGAGTGAATGGTCTTCTGGGGACTCCAGCCCCACAGCATGGTGGCCACCCAGTCCCTTTCAGGAGGACAAGGGCATCCAGGTTAAGGGGGCTGAGTCCTCAGAAAGACGAGAGGGAAAGTCTGAGCCTCCCTCTCATCCCAGGCCATTTCCATTTTTCTTCTGTGTCTGCTCCACAATGTCTTGCAACCTCCCAAGCAACATCCAGTGTCTACAGCTTCCCTGGGAAATGAGTGCTTTGGTTGTGGCAGGCTTCAGATGGGGACATATTTCAGATGATGTCAGATATTTCAGACTCTGCCTGTCTGCAACCTTTCTTGGTCAGGTCCATGAAGGGTCCCACCCCTACCCACAATCAAACAGAAAACCTGACCCTGCGCAGCAGCAAGTGGGCCACATTTCCCTCATGAGCGACTCCCACATCCTTAGTGGATTCTGTCTGTGTGCTGTTCCCCTTTATGCTGCAGCAAAGGTTCTAATAAAGCCTCTTTTTGGATGGCACAGTCTCGCCTACCATAAACCTCCAGCAGAGTGTGCTGTGTGTGCTGCTTCAAAGAGCTGGGAACATCAGAGGCCACTGACTCTGGTGGCCAGTAGTCCAAGCCAGTAAAACTGAAGCTGGTCAGCAACAGAGAATGACAGGCAGTGATGGAGGCTTGCTGGCAGATTTCCTTCAGGCTTCAGTCCTCACAGCTGTATGTTCCAGGTCCTTCGGAGAAACTTGTGTCTCTCAGGCCTGTTGTTCTGCCCCTCTGCAGAAGCCAGACTTACGCAGCACTGGCTGATACAGACATATAATAGAAGAAACAGACAAACATGCAACAGAGATGGGGACAGCCCTTGCTGGGGGTGTTTGGCTAAGTACCATGAAGGGGGTTTTATGTAGTAAGTCCATCCTGGTCTGCAACCGGATGTGACTTGTGGGGGAGGGGCAGGCAAGCAGAGAGCTGCTGGGGCCAACAACTGATGTGGAGCCATCAGCCAGCTCAGGCCACAGGAAGGGACATTTCCAGCATTCTGCTGAGGTTCCCTCTGCTCTCTGGCACATTCTGCTGTAGGATAGAGCCACAGCCTTGGACTAACAGGACCAGGTGGGGCTGAGTGCAAGAAGGAGGGACCGACCACAGTGCCTAACTGCCTAGGGCCCATTGTGAAGACTCCTGGCTTCTCCTTCACTTCCCGAGTCTCTGGGTTTTGCTGATCTCAGTGTCTTTCTTTTCCTGTCTTTTCAACACAAGTTCAGGCAATCCCAGAAGGTCCCACTGCCCAGCTGCTGGAAAGGCCTATTTCCCCCTTGATTTGGTTATTTGCAACAGGGAGGCTTTGCTGGGGAGTCACTGCCTTTGGGACTTACACACTGTCAGGAACTGGGTAAGACCATCCTCTCAGCACATCCAGTGTATCCATCAGGACTCACCAGAGAGACAGAAGCAACGGTGTGTGTGTGTGTGTGTGTGTGTGTGTGTGTGTGTGTGTGTGTGTATGCACACACAGAGAGGATGTATATGCTAAGAAAAAGGCCCAGGCCATTGTGGGGCCTAAAATCCAGCACCAGGCTAGGAAAGTTGCAGTTGAGCACAAAGGAGGTCTGTTGGTGAATTCCCTCTTTCTCCAAGGAGGTGGGTCTTTCTCTCCTGACCCTTTGACTGATGAACACATTACAAAGGGTCTCTGGTTTACTGCAAGTCATGGAATGCTTTGCATAATATTTGACCAAATATTTAGGGACCATGGCATAGGCAGGTTGATGCAGAATTGACCTTGAGCTCCCGGGTGCAGGCCTGGAGACTGTAGAAGATGACATGGGTACCTCTCTTTGAATGCAAAACAATTGCTCCAACTTAGTGTTTCCATATACTAACATGTACAGAGCTGGCTATGGTATATTTTTTCCTCTTCAGTTGTATCTAAGCAATGCAAATAAGGCCAGCTAAGATATTGGTATATAATCTTTAAGGCCAATCTGTCGGTCTCCTGTTTCCTCGAATAGTGCTCTCTATAAAAACCTGAGTGTAGGGATGGCAGAGTCACTCAGCTCCAGGAATGTCAGCTGGGTACTAGCCCCAAAGTAAGAGGCTATAAGTTCCCAGGGCAAAAAAGTTTACATATCAACACTAAAGCAATAACCTCCGAAAACAATTGAAATACTATCTTAATTGAATTATGCAGATTGATCCTTCTTCTAGTCATCCTCCCTACATTTTGTAAAGATGCATTTCTCCCAACCTGCCTAGCCAGCTCAAGTTACTCACGTAGTTCATGCCATTCTCACTGTCACCCGTTGTTGAACCACCCTCTTCTTCACAAGATATCTTCTTCACAAGATAATAAAGAGAGGTCTTGGATTAGGGTCTTTGTCCATATATCTTCACTTGGATCATGCTTAGGACCCCTTGACTGTCCTTACCTTTAAATATATCTTGGTGTCTTTACTCTTGCCATGGAGATGGTAGATTAAAATTAATTTGCTAAGATTCCAATAATATTTTAATGGGATTACAAATATAATTTTCCAAACTGTGAGGAAGATTTAAAAAAAGGATTACTTGGATTACAATATTCAATATTTGAATTACAATAGCAACTTTTATGTACCTTTTGCCCAGGGATCTCACCAAAAAGTGCACAGATCACTGGGACTCCACCAAAACAGCTTTTCAGGCATCTGCACCAGAGGAGGTGGATGCACTCGGCTGCACCCTGCCTTTATAACGATGCAGAGATAAGCTGAGCACTGTTTCTGCACTCAGGGTGTACTTGCAGGATGTTCTAGAAGACTCCAGAACATTGTAGGACCCAGCAAAGTGATGTCCTGGGTCTGGGTGCGCTGAAAGAACTGGTGTTTTCTCACCTCCAGGGGCAAATTGTGCCTGCTCCCTTCTTGAAAAGCCCACAGCTTGGGGCTTCAGCTGTACCCAGCACCCTCAGAATAGGTCCAGATGGATGTGTGTCCCCTGCAGCAAGTCAGCCCCTTCTACCTAACAGCCCTAAATACTGACATAAAGTCAAACTTCTTTTAAAACTTTGTAATAGTCAGAAACTAAAAGCTCAAAAATGTTTCTGAGACAGCCCTCTTGGAAGAGTCCTGGAGGCCAAGGCAGGTATAACCATTGCTGCCAACATTCAAACTTGCAGACTGCACACCTCATTCAGCCTCTTCCCCATCTGGCCGTCCTCCATTACAAATCCTCATCATCAAAGGTCTCCAGGCACCTCAGCATTATCATCTCATCATCAGTAGATGGGGCTGGTTCCTGCAAAACGCATGAGAAGAAGTTGAAATATTGATGGAAGTTTCCAGGCTGATAGGAAGGCCTGGCAGCTTGGGGTCTCAGCTCTTCCATTCTCTACAACTTTCTCCTCCAGCTTCCAGCCAGGGAACCCTAGAGATGGTAATATTTCCATTACACACAAAGCTCTGTGACCTCCAGAAAGGATCTAGGAGAACTAGCTTCTTTCCTATCCTGGAAATTGCCAGGATCCCCTAAGACACACAGGGGAAATCTTAGTTTTAGCCCAGTGGTTCATCGGTAGAAGACTGTGAATTACATCATGGTACATCCACCAGTCATCAGCATACAGCTGGGTTTTTTTAACACAAGGAATGAGATAGGTTTCTATCTCTGGAGTAGATGCTTAATTTTTTAAAAATGCAAAGCAATGTGTTTAGTATACTATCATTTCTGTTTACAAGGATACACAAATATCTTTGGATAGACCAACTTTGGATAGATGTGCAAGAAACTGGTTGTAGTAGTTGTCTCTAGGAAAGACAAGAGGGGAGTAAATGAGGAATGATGGTGGAAAGAAGCTAAGTTTTCACTGAATGTCTTTTGCGGAAGACCAGCCTGAGATGACAGAATGGGCAATAATTAGTATTAATAAATTGAAACAAAAATAAATCGAGAGTCTGTCCCAGGCTTTAATGACTTTGTGGCAAGACACCGGCCATCTTATGGACAGATTAATCTTTAAGCCAATGGCCAGAGCTGAGACCAGCAAACAGTCTGTGAGGTTCTGGTGCCTCAAAGCAAGAAACACAGCAGCTGAGGACCTGCTGAGCAAATTCCACCTAGTTCAGTAGTCACAGTTAGCAGACAATCAGGTTACTAGTTAACCCTGATCTGTTCCTGTATGATTTTCCAAAAATGCATTGTTCCTCAATTCTTGATCCTTGGCTGCATCAGCAATTCATCCCCACAGCTTCCTGCAGCCCACCAACATGCCCCCAATCATGCTGTCCATTTAGTAAAAGCCAAAGACACCATGCCTCATGGTCCTAGCCCATCACTGGGCTTTGACAGTATTGGTTCCCTTTATAATTATAGTGTATATAATGTGTCTGTGCTTTATTATTTCATTATATCTCTGAGAAGGAGATCAATGGTCTAAGGTCATGGCCCCAATAATCTTTTGCTAATTTTGATTTTATAGCATGCACAGGGGCTGCCTATTAGTAGATTTTCTAAAAACACAGCACTCCATGTGTCTAGCAATGACCCCTTCCCACCTCTCAGGAATCCCTACTCTTTCCCCTAAGAGTGTTCCTGGGATTTTTTATTCTTCCTGTCTTTCTCCACCCCAGCAGAAAATCCTGACATGGGTGATCCCTGTGGGAAGTGTCCCTAACCCCAGGCATTCATCTGATGACAGCAGGACCAAAGATGACCTCTAGATGGAGAGATGACCTCTGTGGACCAAGTCTGCCTGCTCTGGAGAAGCACTTCCTACTCCCTGAGCTTTCCTAACAGGGGTGGGAATGGGGATCAGGGGTGTAAGAGAGGTGAGGGTGCCGTTCAGTGCAAGAGCGCTTGCCCAGCATACATGAGGCCCCAGTTTCATTCCCAGCAAAATAAGTATCAGATATGGGACAAGTGGTTTTTAAAGGGAAATCACATGGGCCTCTTGTTCAGGACAAGGACAATGACAAAGATTGAGAAAAGAGGTGCTCAGAGCATAGGGAAGTCAAAGAGGTTGAGAAAGGGAAACTCCAGGCTCTGTCACACAAATACTTGAATGTCGTTCACAATGCTCTGTTTCCTTCCACTTTGAAAATGGTGGCTGAAGCCTTTTGTTAAGCTACAGATTTCCTGAAAGCAACAGGTTGGTAGAGACGTTTGCTATTGATGTTGGCCGCTGAAGTATATTGAACAGTCTCCTACCAAATCAAGTCCACATGGAAAATCACTTAGAGCTAGAATCTTTGCAGATGTCATTAATTAAGGTCTCATGATGAAACCACCCTGGGTTTAGGGTGGGCTCTACATACAAATGACTGGGACAAAGATGAGAGGGACAAAGAGACAGGCAGGTAGGTGGGGCAGGGACACACTGAGGACAGAGGATGCTGAGGGTTGCCAGAGAGTTCCAGAAGCCAGAGAGACACATGGAAGCATATGCCTTGGGGCTTTCAGAGCCTGTACAGCCCTGCCAACATCTCAGTGTCAGACTTCCAGCCTCTAGAACTAGGAAGGGAACTTCTGTTGTTTTAAGCCACCAAGTTTATAGTCATTTATTAGTGCAGCCCTAGGAAGCCAACACAGGTACTAGTTGAGTTCTGTTGTACCACTTCCTGTAGAGCTGACAAATGGCAGCGAGTTGGAAGAGAAATGAGGAAGAATGTAACTTTTCCTCTCCCCACCAGAGTCTCCTAAAGATTAAAGTCTCTTGCCTCAGAACTGTTCAGACAGTGTGTTCAAGACAAATTCCAGGACCTCGTGATTGTAACACTGAGTGAGCATCTTGTGACATCAAGAATTGGGGTGATTCTTGGGGGTGCTGAAATTCAAGGCCCTGGCTTCATGTGAACATCAGTCTCTGCTTGTTCTTGTTCTCAGTTGTATCAGGAGAAAGGAAGAAGTGAAAGCAAAGAATCCCTTTAATCAGTTCTCAGACTTGGTTAAGTGGACAAATATAGATGATTCTGACAGAAAGAGGGGTGCAGATGCTACAGGCTGGTCTGCCCCAGATTGGTAGGATGTAGATAGTGAACTACAGGACAGGTTTTGACCCCAGTGGGGATACAAAGTGGTCTCAGCAGAGGGAAATGGAGAATTAATGGGCAAAGAGCTGAACTATGCCTTGGTCTATTAACAAGTTGTTCTGTTTTTAGACAAACAGTTGTCACTTTAGAGTTTACCTTTTAAAAACTGGTTGTACTTTTACTAAATCATCATCAGAGAAAATCTGTGATGTACTGCAAACCTGAAAGGGCCTCCCTGCTGCTGGCTGAGATTCTCCCACCATGGGAACCCCAGGGATGGACCCCTGGCCAAGATTCCCACAGCTTTCAGAGAGTAGAAATGATCCTTTTGAAGTTGACCCCAAATATTCCCACAGGGTCTCAGAAGATGATGAAATAGCTCAGCCTTTTTGCAAAGCTATTGCCCAACATTTACAAATGCCCTTGGAATGCTTCAAAGGGCTCCCGGTACAATCTGCCCTGGAAGTTCTCCCTTTGCCTCTTCCTCAGCTTCCAGGATGCATTCCATTTCACACGAGGCATTATTAGGCTGGTGTCTACCACCCACAGAGCAGGCCAGAAAGAAGCAAAAAGGTCTGCCCAGTGCTCCTTGCAGGGTGGTGAGAGCAAGGAGTGCCAGGGGCCCTCATGAGTTCTTTCTGCCATCCTAAGGTGGGTAGGCAGAGGTCTCTTTGCACCTTCTCTGCCCTACCTGTTTTAATGGAGCATTAACACAGCAGAGGCCCTTTAAAAAATCGATGATTTGAAGGTAGAGCTGCAACTTTTTCTCTGGGTTCTCTGGGTTGAAGCTGGCAAACCCTGAACTGGCAACAGAAAAAGAAGAGTTAGAAAATATTTAGAACCTTAACCTCTGCTTGTCACCACTCCTCTGCTTCCAAAATGTTTGGACTACAGTGAGCCAAGCTCTTCTGAATGTCTAGTGGAATTCCTAGATGGTAGAGCTCTTCCCCTAAAATCTGTGCTGCCTCTGTTCACAGCAGAGATGCCTCATCCAGAACCCTCTGAAAAAGCAAGACTATGGTGAGACTGACTGGCTCTTGTGCCTTAGTTTCCCTGGCTTAGTGTCCCATGCTGTGGCCTTGGGACAAAGGAGCACGAGCTCTTTGAGCTCTCAGGCTACAGCAATGCTCGCCACTGTGGTTCCACCCACAGCTGCTGCACAGGCTCAGGAAACACACTGCACAGCTGGAGTTTGGTCCCATGGGAAGCCCCACTTAGTGCATGTGACATGGGGTGTAGGCCCTGGTGTAGGAAGGAGGCCTGTGTTACAGGCTCCTTCCTTATCATGTTCCAGGGACAAGAGGTGCATTTGAGTGTGACTGGGGCCTTCAAGGTCAGTGCTGTGGGTCACAGAGAAGAACCAACTTCTTGCACCCAGGTTCTCCTGGGATGAGGTCCAACAGCCAACCTCAGGACCTCCCAGCAGCAACCCTTGTCTTTTTTAATAGATTCCTGTTTTGATTCTATCCACTGGGCAAGGAGTTCCAAATACTGTTTAGTAAGTACGTGTTGGCAACTGCATCCAAGCTATGTGTGCCCCAGTCCCAGTGCTGAAGTAGGAATGCAACTGTCAGCCAGCTGCAGCAAAACCACACTCTACAGATGCCAAGGGGAGCATGAGGTGGGAGGACACAGCCTCCTCTGTCCATCCCAGGGCTCCTCGAGTCTGGCCAGGCTGGGTGGGGCGGGGGATGGAAGATAAAGATTGAGGATTGGGCTGCCTGGAAGTCTGCTTAAAATCGTCTGAATCCCTGTGGCCACATCTCCAGGGTGACCCAAAAGCCAGGCTCCCATGGAAGACCACAGATTCTCTTGGATCCCAAGGATGTGAATGTCACTCTTACTCTCAAGTCAGAGACTAAAAAATGTTCAAACTTCTTTTCAGCCCGGACACAAGTGCAATATGTGAAGGGCTTTCCCTTCTGACCAGGAAGTCATAGGTTTTTGAGGAGCAGCCAGGGAATTCCCATCGTAGGCTGGCTCTTCAGAGGAAGTACCCTGGTGTACAGGCTTCATCCAGCTGCTTCTTGTTTTAAATCTTCCCAGATCTGTTTTATGTCTTCTTGCCTTGTAGGTCAGCTGTCCCTCCTTGGTGCCTTCCATATGCATTCAGCATTGGGGAGGTAACTTTCCCCCTCGGTGTGTCTCAGTCTCTTTTAAGCATAGGGCACAAGGCCTATTTCCCCACAGGCCCAGGTCCTCTGTGTTTCAGATCCCCTGTCCTCTTGTGCCAGCTCAAAAGCTATGAGCAGCCCACGGGCTGCCTGGGCCTGGCTACAGACTGAATGTTTGTGCCCCTACCCAAGTGATGGCTTTAGGAGGTGGCGGTGATTAACACATTTACAAAAGAGGCCCAGAGAGACCCGTTATATTGAGAAAGTGCCATCTACCAGACTCTGAGTCATCTGCCACCTTGATCTTGAACAATGAGCAATAAATGTCTTTGTTTTTCTGCCACCCAGCCAGGGGTTTTCTGTAACAGTGGATTTAACAGCAGGGCAGTAGCATCTGTACATGGGATAAGCAAGGCCAAGGTATACCAAGAAAACAGCAAAAGAGACAGACAAAATGAATCACCTTGAGCTGATTACCTAGTGTGTCCCTGACAACGTCATTCCCCAGGAGATGACACAGGCCTAGGACCAACCCACTTCCAATCACAGTAAAATGTGGATTCCTAAGAACTTTTATTGGATTATGCACCCATCTGGGGATTGCAGAGGATGGACTATAAAAGACCCCTGAACAGGTGTACACACACACACACACACACACACACACACACACACACCTTCCCGTTGGCACACATACACTTGCATCCTCCTGCTGCCTTCCTTACCTGGGGTAGGATGCACTTAGAATTTCAGTTTTGTCCAAGAAACTTGCCACATCAAAGGTATCTTCAAAAAAGACCTAGAAGAAAGGCCAGAACTTCATGTGTCAGAAGTGATTTAGCTGTTTGATGCTTGCACAAGGCTGCTGGGGCAGAGGGCAGTAGAAGGCCTCCCTCTCTCTGCACTGTGTCCCCAAAGGATGTGTGTGTCAAAGCTGGGCCCAAATGCAGCCTCTGTGCTTGGCAGTCTTCCCGCATGGTAACAGCAGTCTTCTAAGGCTCTGTGAACTCCAAAAGAGCTGGTTTTCCTGCTTGTATCTCAGTGCAGGATGACTGCTAACAACACCCAAAACTCTGGAAGCCACTCTCACTACTCAAAAGCTGAGAAACGCATGGATAGCAGACACTGTGGCTGCTTCCTCTTTACTGAGTTACTACAGTGCTCTCTGGGATGGAAACTCTCTGCCTCTCAAGGAGTGGACCTGAGTAGTCCTGAGGTGCTGCTCTCTGGATTACCAGTCACTGGTTTAGTAAAATGTTTATCTGGCCAATCCTGGCCAGTGACAGCAGAGAAAAGGCATGGTGGGAATTTCTGGGTAGCTTTTCCCTGGCTGAGACAGAGCCCTCACAAGAACTCCTATCGAGTGAAAAGGATGCTTGGTTGCTTCAAGCAAAGAATGAGAAACCTGTTCAAAAATGAAACAAGGAAGAGAGAAGAGAGGAACCTCAATCCGTCCTCATCACTGAGCAACTGGGCTAACCCAGACCTTCCTGGATGTGAGGTTTAAAAAAGTCACTGGCAGCCAAGAGTTCTACGCTAGAACATCCTATACCTCGGCTCCCACAGTGTCACAGAAAGGCCAGGTTGCTGGCAGGAGAAGAGAAAGTGCTGTCCAGTGGTCACGGAGATGATGATGAGAAAATCAGAACCCACATGTAACCCGATTTCAATTGGCCCCTCCAACTCACTAAAAGACCTCAGCAAAGCTCGGGATCTTGGGGCTAAGGATGACAGACTGGTTCCTGTCACACTCTGGGTCACCCCACAGAATCTGCTCACCTCCTCTGGGGTGGAGAGCAGTGAGCAGCTGGCCCCTTGGCTGTCTACGCCGCTGTCTTTCATGCTTTCCTCAGCACAGGCCAGCTGAGGGCAGATGCTCAGGCCCAGGGGGTCATCATGCTGCTGGGTCCAGGCCTGCAGGACACTGGCCTTCCTGTCCTCGGATAGTGTCTGCCACAGGTGGGAGATGGCTGCCGAGATGATGGGTTGTGAGGTCTCCTGTGAGGACACGATGCCATTCCCAATCAGCAGGTCCATTGTCTGCCTGTAGAAGCTGAGGTACCTGGAACAGAAGCGTGCCAGCTCTCGAGATTCAGTTCCTGTGGCCCCTCCAAGGCTTAAGCAGATTAGCCTTAAAGCTCTGCATCCTCTGACTCCCAGAGGGCCAAAGCCACCAAGGGGGCCATGAAGGACCTACATCTGCAGTTGGGATTTCTTCCATGGCTGGCTCAATTGTTCTCCCACATGGAAATATGGTGCAATTCTGCCAGGAGTGCACCTTCCTGTTAGAAACCCCACTTTAACACTGGGCTGTGGGCCAGGCCCAGCCAGGGATTGGGATTCCTCCTATTGGGCCAAGACCTTCATAAGCTACACAGTTGCTGAGAGTTTTGGGTCCATAGAGGAGGCAGTGGCAAGGAAGCCATTCACCTTCCTCCTTCCCTCCCTGTCCCTACCGTCTTCTTTCTTCTGTCCTTCCTCCTTATATTGGGGATTAAAGGGCCTTCGCACTAAGCTGTATCTCTGTTTCTTTTTTAACAATTTTTTATTGTGAGACATGGTCTAAGTTGCTCAGGCTAGGCTTGAGCTTTCGATTCTTTGCCTCAGATTCCTAGGATGCTGGGATTACAGGTGTGCACCATCACACCTGATTCTGTCTTCCTGTAAGACCATCTGTAATGTAAGACAGCAGATTTGCAGAGCTTGAGTGGTGGAGGTAGACAGGGGTTTAGCCTTTGTAACACAATCAGCATCCCCATCTATCCAAATAAACACCCAAACTAAATAAAAACAGCAGCTTGGAGACTGTGTCTAGACCCACAACTGACTCCATCCTGAGCCCCTCCTGTGGAAACTCCAGAGTATCCAGCATTCAAGGACTGGTCTGATTTCACATGGAGGCCACAGTGTTCACAGCTGCAGCCTGTGTCCAGTCCCCACAGGAGCTCCGCGGGTGCATAGAACCACCCCACCCAGCTGTTCACACCGCTCAAATTCCAGGAGGTCTGGTGGTGAAGTGACTGGGGAGTGTACGAGGTCCACTTTTTTCTCTTCTTCTTCCTCTTCCTCTTCCTCTTCCTGGTTTTCCTCTTCCTCTTCTTCACCTTCTTCTTCTTCTTCTTCTTCTAAGTCCTTCTCGAATGCTGCCTCAGTTGGGTACCAGGGGAAGGAGCCATTCTGAAGAAAATCCTCTGAGATCAAGCTGGGGAAAACAGGAACGAGACAGTACTGTAGACAGTGACCCCCAGCAAACACAAAAATTCTCAACACATTTTAGCAACAGTATACATAATCCAGTCACATATATGTTATGACCAAATGGTCTTGCTTATTTAAAAACCAGTCAGTGCAATTCACCACATCAACAGACTGAAGAAGAAAAATCATCTCAATATATGCAGAGAGACAATTAAAAAAATCAATTTTATTATAAGAACTATCAGCATACAAGAAATAGATGGCAACTTCCTTCACCTGATTAAGGCTATCTGCAAAAAGCCTACAGTTGATACTATATTTAATGGTAAAATACCAAGTGTTCTCTCTCTAAAATCAGGAGTGAAAAGGGGATGTCCATTCTTACCACTTCTTCTCAGGATCACACTTGAGGGTCTAGTCAGTCCAATAAGGCAAGAAAAAGAATCAAAATTTAGAATACAGATTAGAAAAGAAGTAAAAATATCTATTTTGCAGGCAATGTGAATATGTAGGAAATTCCAAAGAATCTGTGAACGTATGATTTATAGTTAAGAAGTGGATTTAGCAAAGTTGAATAATCTGAGGCCATTATCCAGAAATAAATACAGAATTTCAGTTACAACAAGGGCTATCAGAGTATAGAAAGTGTGTGGATGTGTAGGGGTGGAGACAAGAGAGAGAGAGGTGTGGGGATGCAGATGAACAGGAAGAATAACTTCTAAAGTTCTCCAGGATAACTATAGTTGACAAAGTAGCTAATAGAGATTTCAAACTCCCTACACAAACAAATGGCAAATGTCTGAGTTAATTGCTCTGATCTGATAATTACATAGTATATACATGTATTGAAGTGTCACATTGTACCATAAATAGGTATAATTATTATGAGTCAATTACAACATAAAGTAAAAAGGAAGTTTATATGCTAGAAATGAACTTGAAATTTTAAAAAAGCAAAGAACTTGAAATTTTACAGTATCACCAAAAACATGAAAGAATTAAGTTTATAGCAAAAGCTTACTCTGTATTTTTTTAAAAAAGTTAACACTTTTCAGTTTTGCTGTTCAAAAGACATTTAAGACAACAAAACTACATGACACAATTTAGAAAGTCAGACTTTATACACAGGATCTCTTCATACTGATAGGGATAACCCTTAAGATGTTAAATTCCATTAAAAAGAAAAAGAAAGCTTGGGAAATACTTTTTTAAACATCTTGCAATGTAGAACGCCTTTCTAAGTTTTCCCCAAAACAACTTGATATATTGGACTTCATTTCTGCATGGCAAACAAGAAAAACAAAACAAAGACAATCTAATAAAACAAATGACTGAAGGAAAAACAGTTCGCAACCCAAGTAATAGAGTTAACTTATATGTACATGTAGAGAACTTCTACAGTTAAATAAGAAAAACAGTCAACCCAACACAGGTGGGCAGAGGACAGACAATTCCCAGGAAAGGAAAACCTAATGATCTTCAACGAAGGCGCTCAAGTTTACTTATAATTAATCAAAATGTAACGAGTATATTCTATGCTGATACCATAATTCTAATTACTGCAGCAAAAAATTATCCCTACCATTAACTCTGATTATTTAAATTAGGATTTTAACAAAAATTTAGTTATTTTTCTGTGTGATGAGAATTGTATCTTACATCGGTATGGAAAGAATAGCTCATATGATAAATGGGGTTCAGACCACTGGCTACCCATTTAGGGGAAGCAAGCATAGAATCCCACCTTTCTGAGACCACCTCCAGGGTCAATGGCAAGGCAGGGTCCAGTCTGCTTTTTAAAAACAGTCTTCAACTGCCATGTACGTTCAACACATACCCACACCACACCTGCTTCCTCCCCTCTGGAAAGAAAATGGTAACCTGGATGGAGTGAGATTATAAGTGGTTATTTTTTTCTTGACACATTTTTGTTTCCACATTACTTATTTTTGTTTGTTTGCATGCTAGGGAATGGGACCCAGGGCCTTGGCATGCTATTGAGCTACATCCTCTGCCTTCTACTTAATTTTTAATAATTTAGTTTGCTCTGCTGATTTTCCATACTATACAATACATGTTCTTTGTCAACATTTTCAGGGCATAGAGTAAAGTAGACAGAAGAAAATAAATGTCATGGTGTTTCTGGCCATACTAAAAAATAACATGATGCTACATCTCTTCACCAGAACGGCCTTCAATAGGCTCTGAAAAGCATGGGGTTTCCTACCCTTTTACGTGGGATAGGAGCAATGGCTTGTGCTCCGTGTGTCATTTGAGGCCAGCCTGTGTATACTGTGTCACTAGAGATGGGCATGCTGGGCTACTAGGACCTGGTCATTGTCCCCAAATTCAGGCTGGGATCAAAGCAGGCTGCAGGCTGCAGATGCTGAGCAGGTATTGACAGCAGAGCAGAGGAGATCTCTGTGCAGCAGGCACGGGAGGCCCTGATAGTAAATGTAAAACTTGACATCATAAAAGACACTTCTATTCGTGTAAGTTTGAGTTATTAGTAATGACCCACTCAGCGTCTGTGACACATGCTTTTCCTCTTTGAAGTCTAATGCTTTTTCCTAGATTCCCATGACTTGAAAAGTAGACTGACATTTTTATTTTCTTTATTTTCATCTGTACCCTCCAATATTTATAGTAGCTGAGGATTTCAAATGTATGTATAAATACAAACTATATAATGCTATATATAATTCAGGCTAAATACTATAATCTCATTCCTTGAAAATAGGACGTGCAAACATTTTAAAACTAGATAGATGGATGTCCCTCAAAATTAACATTGATTGTTTTTGAGAGCTAAAACAATATTTATTTTCAGGCTTTTCTTTGTTTCCTACATCTCCCATAATAAGCACAGGTCACTGTCATAACAAGAAGAAGCCCAATGGGTGTGTTAGGGTCAGGCAGAAGTGAGTTAGTTACCCCAGGACCAGAGTGTAGCAGGTGAGTGACTGGCTGCTCTGGGAGAGGAGAGGGTGGGACACAGCTTGCTCCATCCTCCTAGAGCTCTTGGGGTCTTACCTCTCATTTATGGAGAACATTCCAGCATATTTTTCTTTAACCTCCTGTAAGCTGCCGGGGTTTCCATCCTCCAGACTGAAGGATTCTATCAATTGAGACAAAAAGAAAATCAGATCCTTGTTGCATCTTTGTGGCCTGTGGGGGTGCCCTGAACTCCACCCTGTCCCCCAGGTTCAGATTTTGGAAGTCCAGAATTCATTTGGCATCTCTCCTGGGTGGGAGGGGAGAGCTCAGAACAAGCACTTATTCATTTTTTTCCTTTGGCCTCTTAACATGAGGTCAGGTGCCCCACAGGAGACTCATCAAACTTGCACAGCCTGATGACCCCTGTTCATCCTGCCAGGCCATAAGCTCGCTGGGTTAGGGACATCAATCTCAATCATAGCCCAATCACACTGCCTTGTGCACAGTAGGCCCTCAATAAGCATCTGTGGACCCTTTGTAACCCAGTTTCTGATTCTAACAGAAAAACAGAACCAGCCTTCACCAATGAGGGACTTAGTACCTTTCAGCTTCAGCAAAGTGTCCAGGGTTTCTTCCAGTTCCTGAATATGATTCTTTGCTTTGTTCAGAACCTGCCACTGGGGACAGAGATGGACAGTGCTGCTAGGGCAGCCTCACACTGCAGAGACTGCTTTTGTGGACCCATCACCCCCTCAAACTGAGGTCACAGTCCCTAAGTGTGAAGCCATACCCTTGACAGTGGAAAAGATTCCCTAAAGCTTAGAGGAGGTGGAGTCTTCTTTCTCACCTAGTAATGGATTCTCACTGAAATACCAAAGTATCTGGAAACAAACTGCATTCAACAGACTCCTAGGGTTGTAGAAAGGCAAAGGACTATGCTGCCTCCTTGAAGGTGGAGTCAGGCTCCGGAGGGGCACAGATGAATGCCTGTCCAACCCAGGTTGCACAAGGCACAGGCTAGGCTTCTGCTCGGTTGTGACCACGTGCAGCTGGCTGTTTAGCACAGGCTCACAATATTTACTTGCTAAATATTTACTTGCTAAAATTTACTTGCATCCAGATGATCCACAAACTTCTCAAGTGTTCTGTAAATTTGACTCTGAGTTTCTTCCCTTCCCTTCTAGCGTCTTTCCTCCCTCCATTCCTCTCTTCATTCCTCCTCATTTCCTTTCGTCTTTCCCTAAAGTCAAGATGGTATCAGCAAGATTATTCAAAAATAAGAAACACTAAGTGTATGTTGGGCTGACATCTACATCTCTCAGGAGTCAGGGACACTCCTTAGGCTCAAGGAAGTGCAAAGTTGCATGCTGAACCCTGGGGAGGCAGTGTCAACAAGACAGTCCCCACTTCAGGACACTGACATCCCAAAGGGAAGCATGGAAGCAGCTTGTGATTCATACGAGGCAGAACTAAGGAAGGGCTCGCAAGCCAACACAGAGAAGGACTCTTCTGACTGGAGAGATCAGGACTGTGGAACAGAGCAGCTAAACTGAGCGAGCCCAGCTTGGAAATGCACAGGCTAGGCAGACCTCACTCAGGCCTCAACCAGGCAGTTGCAGAGAGGACAGCTGGAGAGGCAGCTAGGGAGTGAGAGCCCCAGTGCTGCCATTCTAGATTCACAGAGCTTCTGACAGTGCAGAAAAAGGAGACTCGATCCTCTTCTCATTTGCAGAAACTTTATCTCCCTGCTTCCTATGAGAAAAGGACCAAGAGATAGAGGGAGGCAGTGGGTTGGGGGAAGAGCTAGAAAAAGAATCAAGATGTATGAGGCACCTGTGCCAACTCTCCTCAATGAATGTAATTACCGCACACCTGTACTAACAAAATTTTTGTAAAATTTTGAAAAAGGGCTCCTAAGGGGAAGTACAATACTCCACTGATCTTACGATACTATACTGATCCAGAGATGAAGAGACAGGAACAACAGTTTTGGGAGAATACAGCCAACTGTAAGGTTGCTGAGCATCCCTTCCTGACGAAGACCCATCCCTTGCTCCTGCACACCCTGCAGTTCTTGTCCTGGGTCTCATAATTGTGCTGTCAAGGCAGAAAAGACTTGCAATGAGGGGCTACTTGTTTCCAGAGTCCTGGACTTGACCTTAGGGTGAGAAAATGATTCTCTAGGTGCTATGGTTTAAATGTTCATGTGTCCTTGAATGCCTATGGTGACACCTCACCTCCAACAGGAGTGGATTAGGAGATAAAGTCTTTGGGGATTAAGTCAAGAAGGTAGAGCTCTCACAAATGGGATGAATGTCCTGAGAAAAGAAGCCAGGGGAACTAGTTCACACTTTTCATCATGTGAAGACCTAGCTAGAAGGTACCACCTGGAGACCATTTCTTACTGGACACTGAATTTGCAGATGCCTTGATATTGACCTGATTTGGAAACAGTCTTTATAGAGGTAATCAAGTTAAAATGAGATCCTTGGGCTAGGCCCCAGTTGCATATGAGTGATGTCATTATAAAAAGGAGAAATGTAGGTACAGACAGACACATACAGGGAGGATAATGAAGATAACCATGTGGCTGGAGCAATCTATCAGGAAATGCCAAGGATTGCTACCAAATTCCGGATGTTAGTACAGGCAAAAATGAGTCTTCCCTAGGGCCATTGGAGGGAGCAGGGCCCTGTGGGTACCATGATTATCTTTCCATAACAGAAGTCAGGAACTTACACTCGTTCACTGAAGCTGATTAACAGTTGTGTTCCATCACTTGCTACATCATGAGGGTCAACTCCAGGGTACATGATTTTCCTTTGGAGTGGCCTGCACTGCTTACTGTGAGACCCTGATTGCCTATCCCTTCGTTGTGCATGCTTCTCTGCTAGTCTACACTAGGGACTTTCATTTGTATGCACCCCTGGGGACACACAGCCAACATATCTTCCTCCAAAAGACTTGGAGCACAGCTGTGCTTAGCAGAGGCCAGATGTGCTGTCACATCTGGCCAGCTGGTGAGCCCGAGAGCCTCTTAGTGTGGCCCAGGAGAGGAAAAGATCAGCACTCCCTCTGCCCCTCACGGGCACACTGCTCTATTTTACAAGAGCAGGTGAGTCTCTGGTGGGATTTCCTCAGCTATGTACAACAGAGGTCCCATTTAGAGCCCCACACAAGGGTGTTTGGGTGCTCTCTTTGACCTCCACAAAGCCCTGGCCCTGTGTCTGCTCAGGAGCTTGCCTGGATGTCTGACCCCAAGTAAGAAGCCTCTGCAAGCATGGTGAGCAGGCAGCATGAAGCCGGAGAGCACGGCTTTGCTGACGAACCCTCCCAGAGAGGAAACACTGCTGGCTCAAACAGGCACAGGACAACAGGGATATTCTGAGAGGGGGCAATGACCCGGAACATGTACATGGACTCTTTCTGGCACTGCCTTAACCAGCTGGCAAGGGCTTCCTCAACTCTAGTTCCCTCTTCTTTTAAGAGGGAAGCTCTTGGGAGACCTTTCCATTCTGGTCTCTCTTTCCTTCTACCACCGCCCCAATCTACCTAAACATTCCGCCACGCTCTGCCAGGTAATTAATTTATTTACTGCTAATTAGCAATTAAAAAACCACATGAGAAGCCGGGCATGGTGGCTCATACCTGTAATACCAGCACTCAAGAGGCTGAGGCAGGAGGATCCTTATGAGTTCGAGACCAGCCTGGGCTACAAAGTGAGCTCAAGGCCAGCCTGAACTGCATAGTGAGACCCTGTCTCAAAAAGACAAAAAACAAAACAAAACAAAACATGAGAGGGAAAATAGAATTAAGAACAGGAAAAGATAAGTGCTTATTTGGAGAGACCCATTGCTTAGGGGAAAGACTCTCTTGGTGCACAAACCCTGAGATACTGTGTACATCTACAGTATGCACACACCTGTATTGTGACATGGGTGCATGTGTATATAGTAGCATGCATGCGTGCATTCCTGTCGTATGTGCACAAGTGCTTGGTGTGGTATGTTCTTGAAAACACATGTGAATGAATGTGTGACAGGCAGAGGTACAGGGTTCTGGAACAGCTGCAGAAACCTTGGTACTGCCCTTAGATGGGTGAGGCATGGAATTTACTGGCTAACTAGGTATCTCCTCAAGCACATCATTTTCCCTCTGTGTCAGGCTGCTCCGTGCAGGTAGATATGGTCTGGCACTCACAGTTCATCTCTGCATATTCCTGGTGCTATTCAGCATCCCTCAAGGATAGGCAGCAAGGACAGCAGCTCCAGGCCAAGCCTGATCTCAGGCCACCTCCCTCCACATGTGGAAGCATCTGCCCACACCCAGGTCCCCATACCTTTGAGGCTGTGAACTCTGACTCAGAGTAAACAGTCTTCCTCAGGTTGTCAAAGAGCCCTGCCATGGTGGCTCGGTGGCGGGCCTGGGACAGGCGTCTGCGGGCGACCCGAGACTCCAGCTCCTGTTGCTGCATCAGTGGTTGTGGCACTGGGCACGCAATAGGGTGGCTGTCTTCTCCAGCAGCTGCCATTCTAAACTGCAATGTAACTTTTACCCTAAATAATACGGGAGAACATTAAGAAAAAAGAAACACAGATTGAGCAGAGAGAAAAGAGATACCTCTTAGATAAAAGATCCCAAGTCAATGAGTATAACTAATAACAGACACAAAATCTGTTCCCAAAGATTGATTCTGAGACTCATAAGCCACCTATATTGGACTCACAGTGGTGGATCTCTGAGGTGCACTGTAGGGGCTCCCCAAACACTTGCTCATTTCTGTGAATGAGGACAGAATGAGACCTTGTGCCTCATACTCTGTCAAAACTGCACAGCCATATGTCCCACCTGGGAGAGCTTGTCGGTCTTAAGAATGGCCCCTCTTTGATCTAGAGAAGGGTTACCCTGATGTACGGATTTGAAAAAGAATATATCACAGTTCTACTTTTGATTCATGAACTTTTTTACGTACATGTAATACCTCAAAAAGAAAGAAAAATAAGAGACTATCCTGCACCTCATTTGGCACTTCACAGTGAAGTGGAGGCGTGTTTATCTTGCTTTGGTGCAATCTGAAGATGATCAGTATATCAGTGTAATGGTTTAGATCTAAAATGTCCCCCAGGTTGGGATTTAGCTCAGAGGCTCAAGCCTGGTAAGCACAAGGTAATGAGTGTGATCTCCAGAACAACAACAACAAAAAAAGTCCCCCAAAGTCTCATATGTCTGGAAGGTGATGGGGTCTTGGGATGCTATACTCATCAGTGGATCGATTCATGGATGAGTTCTGCAGCCGAATGTGCTGACAAGAAGTAGGGTCTGATTGGGACTGTTCTAAAAGGGTGTATTTTATCACAAGCTCCTCCTTTATATTCTGATTCCTACCTGCCACAGGGAACAGCTTTCCTTGGCCAGGTCCATCCACCAGGCCACTTCTGCCTTGAAGCCAGCTGAGCACGGATTTAAGCCACGGGCCAAAATAAACCTTTCCTCTCATTTCCTCTGAGAAGCTTCTTATCCTCAAGCCACTCTGATTCCTAATTTAATCTTGTTTTGCTAACATGCCACTAAGATCTTTGGTCAGAATCTATGGATCAAGTATTGATGGTGTTTATCCCAGGATGTAATTAATAAAAATCTCAATCATTCCTTTTGTTGGCTGCTTATTCCACACTGAAATTAATAAGTTTTATTGTCTGAACCATAAAGCCAAAAACCCCCCAGGCATGGGGACCACTGGAGCCCCAGAGTTGAATAGGGTAAGGGACAATTAAGATCAGGAGAAAAACCTTCAGGGGGAAGGGAAATGACACGTTAGTTCTAACTTGACCCTAAAGACCTCTTTGGACCCAGGCATTCACTGTCTCATGAATTCAGTCCTTGACAAGATTCATAGTGAGAGAGGCCATTTGAGATGCTTAAAAAGTCCTCTAAAGATTATGCCAGTTAATTGCTTCATAACAAAAATAGAGATTATACAGGGGAAGAACGTACGTGTTCCATTCTTACTCAAAACTGGGCACATGTGAACAGGTGAATGTGACTGGTTAGGCATCTTTGTGTGAAGCTGTTCACTTTGCAGAAAAAAGTATAGGAGGAACTCACTGAGACTATTTGAAGAAAGATAGTCTTAACAACTCTAGGCAGGTGAATGATTATCTCAGGGATGATATATTACCAAAGGATAAACTGATATAGGAAAAGGCACTGTTTTGTGGTTTGGCCCAAGACCTGAATCATAACCCTAGCTCTAGATTAATCAGCCATGGGATACTGGATGGTGCTAATAAACTCTAGGTTTTAATTTCTTTATCTGTATGACAGAGGTGAACTCTAAACCTTTTCTCTTTACAAGGGCATGGCCATGATTCCATGGCTGTCCTACATTCAAGCCACTCATATTCTAGCAGGAGTGAGGTATGCAGCACTTGGGAGTGTACAAAGCTTCATCTTAAAGAATTCTGAGACTGCAGCTCAATGAAATGAATTAACTGAATGCTTTCTTTGTGTGAAGCCTGTTCATTCTGCAGAAAACTAGAGCCAAACACACTATGAGGTATTTTAGAATGACCTTAGTGCTTTTCTCTCTAAAGCTCTCACTGCTGCAATTAACCTTGTCTGTGAAAATCTTTGCTCAGCAAAAGCTTTTCAGTCCAGTAGAGTTAAAAGGTGGCTACCTTGATACCTTCAACTAAGGTTTGTGAAGATTTATATGGTCACATGTTCTGTTTTCTGTTCTCGTCTATAAAGTACACTTTCTCACAGTTAAGTATCTTCCCAATAATTTACCACTTAATACCCACTTAGAACTGTCATTTTAGACTCCCTAGACAAAGAAAAATGGCCTCATCTTTGCCAAGTTTGAGAGAAATCTTCAATCTTACTTACTTATACTGAAATCTAACCCAGGGATTGGTATATTACCCCTGAAATACATTCCAGATCCTTTAAAATTTTTTTAAATTAAATTAAATTAAGCTTTTTTTTTTTTTTTCATTTTGAGATAGAATCTCACTAAGTCATTAAGTTTCCCAGGCTGGGCTGAAATCTGTTATACTCCTGCCACGGCTTTCCACACAGTGCTGGGATTAGAGTCATGCAACTACCCTATCCAGCCCTTTCTTTTTATTTTTTAAAATTAGAGACACTGTATCCCTTGACCAGGCTGGTCTCAAACTTGCAATTCTCCTGCCTCAGCCTCCTGAGTAAAACTTTCAATCTTTCTTAAGCACCAGAAAACATTTGAATATGATCCACTCTCCTTAGAAAACTCTAGGCAAACCCATAAAATACTCTGGAAATGCATTGGCAATTTATTATATACATAAAATCCAGCGACTTAATGACGCCTTGTCTCAAAAAAAAAAAAAATTAAAAAAGAAAGGTCAGGGAATGTAGCTCAGTGTGAAGCCCCTGGGTACAATCCTCCACACGGCGATGCACACAAACTCTCCTATACATTGTACAGCACACCCCAATTTCCTATCAGGCTACGAACGAGACCCACGGCTGTGTCCACGCATTCCCACACACCAGGTCTATCAGAAGCTGACCCCCAGTGGATACTCACACACCGAGGGAGCAGCACCGTGCACCTCACGTTCCTACTCGCGGGACACACAAGAGGTTGTGAAGCCCAGTTCACAGCTGTGACCGCCTGCCTCACGCCACCGCGCGATGTGAGGCTCCTGCAAGGCAGAGAACAGGTGACCTGGCACCTCGGCCAGGATGGGGACCAATCATGGCCCTGTCAGCAGCCCCAGCCAATCGGGATGCAAGGTGGCGAGCCAATGGGAGCTCGGGCAGAGGGAACCTTGTAACAAATTGGCAGCAGGTTACACTGAGGGACGTGTAGGGCACGGGTTGACCTTCTCACCCTGGCTTCTTGTTTTCTTCTCCACGAGGCTGACGCCATGCACCTCGCGGGGTCAGAGAGGACACTTTCAATAGCGGCCAGGGTACCAGGGTTGGCCCTGGAGGGGAAAGACAAAAACGTATTGATGGGTAGGAAATGAACGCTTTGAGCAGTGAGAGTTGACCTCTTAGGGAGTAGACAAGGAGGAAGGGGACTACAAAGAGAAGAGAACAAGTCTTCACTGCTTGGGATTAGGAAGCGGGCTTTCTCTAACCCATTCACGATTCACTTTCCTTCCCAAGTACAAGTGAATTCTGACCTTTGAGTCTCTTTTTTGCTCATATTCTTGTATCCCCAAGTATTCCATGATGGTTCTAACCCCTTGCATCACCTGCCTACAGCCTGGGATCCTCTTGGGCAGAGGCCGGGTTAATGCCTTGGAAAGGCGAGCTCACGATCTGTGTGGAGACAAAGACGCCCCCTGGCGGCCCTGATCTGAGATGAGCGAATGCTGGGCCAGGGGTTAAACAGGTGTCATCCTGTCAGAAAAGGCAGGGGCTCTTGATTTCTACTTACAAGCCCGTACCTAAAACATACAGTAAGGTACCTTAACTTAACCGAGGAGCCACAGACTCACCTTCCAAAGGATTTGGTGAAACATTAAATTAGATGTAAAGAAACAAACGTGCTGTAGGAGCTATTGATTCTTCTCCCCTTTAAGGTAAATCTGAAATATTCATTTCTTTCAAAAATTCTGACTAGATCATTTTGGGACCTGTTCTCTCTGACCCTCATGGGTCCTGGGACAGGATGTTACTCAGAAGCTTGTTTACCTGGGCTAGGGATTTAGCTTAGAGGCATAAGCGCCTGCCTTGCAAGCGTGTGGTCGTGAGTTTGATCCCTGGTACCAATAAAAAAGAAAAAGACAAAAAAAAAAAAGCCTATTTACCTGCAAGGGTCTTATTTCTTTACTAAAAATAAGGATCTGGTTGACTTTAGTCAACTACTTACAGCTACAAAGCAGACGGCTCTTTGCATGAACCCTGTGTACCTCCTGTGGCCTCTCACAGTGCTGGGTATAATCGGTATCTGCCCAGCAACATCCATGAATCATCACCTCTGATCCCGGCCTCTCCCTCCCAGTAGCATAGCTCTGCCCTAAAATACATCCCCCTCTGTACAGTAACTTGGAAATTTCCCTGAAATACCCTCTCTCCACCAGCAATATATCTTGTCCTGGAAAATCCCCATACTGTACAGTAGAGTAGAATTCTGTCTTGAAATACTTGGTCCATGCAACTCTAGTGTTAGAGATCTTTCCCTGAATTCTCTCCCTACTATGAGAATGTTCCCTCCTCCCAGATCCAGCTCAGCATTGGACCACCCAAAGATTGCCATTTCTCTTCTGTGGTCCCTTGGGCATGATATTCTGGTTTGGAGAACTTTCTCTTTGGGATTTGTTTGTTTGTTTTTTAATTGATTCTCTACTGTGAGTTTCCATCTCATGTGATAAAGAGCAGAGGCCTCACAGTCCATCATCTTATTATCCTCCAAACAAGATGAGAGGAGTGAATTAGGTACTGAGAGTCAATTGTGTTTCTAATTCTCATGGGCGACTCTGTGTAAAGAGCTCTCATTTTATAGATGGGGAAACCAGACTCATTTGTCTAAGGTAGCACTTCAGGTGGTCCT